TTTTTTTTTTTTTTTTTAGTATTAAATTTTCTGTACACAGTGACCATTGAATGCAATCCAGCTACATAAAATCGCTCATCGTTCGTCCCAAAATATTTGTACTTAAAAACCCAAAACAAACCCCTAACGGCCCACCCACTTCCACCCAGTGACGGATCCTGGATTTTGAGTCAACACGGGCGACCGTGGATCGGCGACCATTGTCAGCAATAAAATATTAAGAGTCATGTTTGATGCCTATTTTTTTTTGCAAAAAGTGCATTTTGAAATAGTGATTTGATAGGAAAATGTGGTTAAAAATAAGGAAACGTTTTGAATTTGAATGTAATAATATTTTTATTGAAAAATATGCGGTTGAAAGAAGAAAGAAGAAAGAAAAATGTATTTTGAAAAAAAAAAAGGAATCAAACAAGGTCTAAAATTTAAATATAACAATAATTTTGTTCAAATTGAATATATATAATTTTGTTGTAAATTTACCAAATAATATTGTGACCAAGTTTTGTATAATTCAAAGGAAGAGCATGGGTTCAAATATTCACCAAATGATATTGTGGCAAAATTTTATATAATTTAAAGGAAGAGCACGTGTTCAAATTTTTAGAATTGCATTAAACTCCTAAAATGTAACATATATTATTTTGGAGAGTTTAATATCAAACTCAATGAGTGTCACAATGGTCAGCTCTCAATATACTAAGGAAAGATCACTATTTCGATTATCCTCTCCTTATCCTATTTAATTTTGGTAAAAATTAAAGCAATAAAAATCTTTCACAATAAAAGTTGTGAGAAAGAGATTTGAAACCGAGACTTTCTATATGAATATAGAAGCTCTACCAGCTGAACTACAAGAAATGTTTGAAAATAAAACAAATTACCAGATATATAATCTAAAATGTTTATTCATTGTCAATAAAAAAATTGTTCAAGGCAGATCTAGCACGTGTGGTTGTTGGGGCTCGCCGGGTGCTGGGTCCGCCACTGCTTCCACCCACCATCTCTATCTCCAGATTTTACTGTTTATCTCCCATAGATGAATGCAGTAAATCAGATTAAATCCCAGAGACCAAAAGAAGGGAACTTTCTGGTCTACAGTGGGTTGAACTTCAATTTGCAGTAAACTTCCAAAAAGAAAAGAAAAAGAAAAAGAAAGCATATGTTTAATCTTGACCAAGGGTGGACGCAAACTTTAAAAGTTGGGAGGGCACAATTGAACTTGCAAAGAAATTGGGAGAAATTTTACAATAAAAAATTTACATCCAAAAAAATCATACCTCATGCAATTTTACATCCGAAAATTTACATGGGATATGACTTTTTCGGATGTAAAATTTTGAAATTTTTTGATGTCATATTCCATATTAATTTTCCTAATAAAATGATTATATTGAAAAATGTGTATCGTAAAAATAATAATTGTTATGAAATCATTGAATTTTTTTTTTAAAAAAATACGAGTTAAACGTCTTTTCTTTAAAACTCACGTCCAACGTATTTTAAACTNGTTATTGAAATTCAAATTTATTGTAATTTTTCCCTTATTTGGTGGAGATTAAAATCAAATTTTTAATAAATTTTGATAAAAGTTAAAAAGTTATCGATTCCATGAAATATGTTATTAAAATTAATTGTTAACTTTGTTTTAGATTAAAATTTAGATTTCAATCGATACCAAACACGATTTCATAAAAAAAAAAAAGAAAAATCTCAAAAGGGGGCACTTGACCCCGGACCCCGCTAGGTACGCCCCATGATCTTGACCGTCAATTTGATTGCCAAGATTGATATGTAAATACAAACATCAATATATATACAACAATTCCCCCTCTGACCGTTTTTTATAGTCCATTCTCTCTCTTTTTAGCACTTTCCTTCCTCAAAAGCAGATACCTTAGCATTTGTTTTTCTCACACTATAAATATTTCTTTTCGAGAGATTTGCTTCAGGCTGTTTAATTACATGTTTTTTTCAAGATTGAAGTTTTGAAGTTGAAGGCAAAAAATAAAGGAAGAATAAAATTATGGGTTTACTGTTTTTTGCACTTTTCTTAGTAGTATCTGCTGCTGAAGGTCAGTGTTTTTTCTAATGTATTTCAGTTAACTTTTTCTGTATGTTTTTTATATTCTGCATTTAATTTATTTCTATTCAGTTAACCCCTTCATATTGTTTTGGATGTAAGTGTTTTTGTTGTTGCCTTTAAGCTTTGTGTATTTGAAAAAAAAAAAAAGAAAAAAAAAAGAAGTGCTCTTTTGTATTAATTTATGTTTAGCTTCAGTATTACTTTGAAAAGTTCAGTTCTTGAAATATACCCACTAATATTTGGGTTGCAACATGTTTTCAGAATGAAGTCCAAATGTAAGCTAGTGAAAAAGGGGTAAATAGTTGATGTAGACAAAGTTAGAATTACTGAAATAATAGTGACATTTCTTTAGTTTCAGTTCTTCTTTGTCTTCACATTTGACATTCCAAATGAGGATTATTCTAGAGGAAGTAAGAATCTTACTTTTTAGAAATTTTCTATTTTCTTGAAGTTCTTTCTATATATCTGCAGTAAATTCTTCTAGCTTTATTGATATCCTACATTCTACAATGTGTCCCCTACCAAGATTTGGAAATAGCTCTATTGCTAACCAGCTCATGTGGCTGTCCTTTTATGTGTACAGAAAGTATATCATGCAATAAAAATATTTTATGACCATAACACCCAATGGGATTAAACATAACTTTGCTTTGAAGGGCATTTTTGTCATTTCATTATTTTAAATCTGACATGTTTATTAGAGTCCCACAGCCGATAATATTTACACGATCCACTTAATAAGGTGAGGGCAATTCTTCCCTAACAAGTTGGTTTTGTTAGGTTGAGTTAGGCTCAATATCCTTTCTAATATGGTATCAGAGCCCGTTAAACTCTAACGAGCAATTCGATCTGATTAAAACTCAAAAAAATTGAGCATACGGATTTCAAGATTGGTCTGCTCAAACGAGCTACCATCTTGCGGGGACATGTTAAGGAATATAATCTCACATCGAATAATGATGAAAATATAGACTAATTTATAAGAGTTTGTGCTACTTCTCTTAATAATGTTGACATTTTAAGATGAAACCCTAAATCTTAACATGGTATCAGAGCATGTCCAGTTTTGTAATGTTGGATGCACCCAATATCGATTTGTTCACAATTGTTTGACATGGTCCTCTCTTTGCGTAAGGGGGCGTATTAGAGTCCCACATTGGTGGGTGATATTTACACGATCCATTTAATAAAGTGAGGGCAATCCTCCCCTAACAAGCCGATTTTGTTAGATTGAGTTAGACCAATATCCTTTCTAATAATGTTAACATCTCACAGTAGTTGCATTGTTGTATTTTATGAAGAACTCTTATGTCTTTACTGGTTTTTATGCTCATGGACTACCTCCTATCTTGTTTGGATCTAACTTTTAGGAACTTTCAAGTATGAAATTTCTTATATCTTAATAGCGATATCTGAAGTATTAGAGTAATAAGGCAATTAGCATTTTCTTGTTTTTACTTTTTCATTATAAGCCCCTGTTTGGTGCACATTTTGGGTAGAAGAATGCATTTTTTTGATGTGATGGACGTGTAATATGTGGTTGAAAAAAAGGAAAAGTTATTGATGTGATAGAAAATATTATTTTATTAAAAAATGTGTGGTTGAAAATGAGTAGAAGAATGATAATAAAAATATTAATGTGGACCAAACAAGGACGAAAACAATTGAAGCAATTTGTCAGTGATTTTTAATAGTATATTTAGTTCCCTTTGACTTATTAGGAAACAGGCTTTCAATGAATATGTTATTATTGTCCTTGATTTAACCTTTGATTCTCTAAAAGGGTATTGCGGGTCATGATAGAAAGAGAAATTATTATAATATTGTAAAAGTTTCACCTTTCAATAACTTGAAAAGTTTTATAATTGAGAAGAAGCTGGTAATATTTTTTTAGTTAAAGATCCGATCGTTCCACAATGTAGAACCAATATTCAAAGAATTTATATAGGTGTATTTTGTATTTCATGTCTTGCTATTTATTACTGCTTCTGTCCTTGTTTAAGTTCTGCATTCCCTTTCTGGGAAATCTATTAAATCAACCACTTTTTAGAAGTAGTAATTCTATATTTAAATCCTGACCCTTCGTTGAGTGCATGATGCGGCTAACACATACTCTTTGTTACTAGTTTTAAGAGTACAATGAGAAGTTATATGAAATCTCTACCATTTCAGCTCTCACCTGAAACTAGGTTGAAGTTGAATCCAAGACATTTAAATGAGGAAAGAGAGAGGACGTTCATAATCTTCATATTCTTAATGCTTTTGACAAAGATCTAGATTTTTAGCATTAAGGGCTTGCCTCTTTATATGACTTTTAGTTGTAAAGGAAAAATAATTGTACTATAAAAACATAATTTATATGATTAGTGTGTGATGGTGATCCCTTTCCTCTTAATTACCACAAAGCTTAGTGCAGCTTTTTGGCAGTATGATAGGTGTTTCTTTCTGTACAATAGTAAACGGAGTCCTTTGTCACTAATAAGGAACATAAAACTCTAGATCACAGATAATTATGTGTGAATTTTAGGATTTGGTGCCACCTATGATGGGAAACTGCAAAAAAACATGAAAGTTATTTTTGATTTTTAGAAATAGGACATGTCGATTTAATAATGGAAATGGGATTTTGCAAATTGCAGAAACATGAAACTCGATAGTATCAATAATACTCCAATACCATCTCCAAGAAGGCTCAAGTTTTGACGTTGCATTAAATTGAAGCTGATTTTGTATATTGATCTTTTACGATTAGAAAACATTACATTGAAAAAATTCATATTAAGATAAGAACCCTTCCCATATATGACCCAAGATCTGCTTTAATTTTTACAATTGAGGATTTCTTGTAGTCTGATCCAGGAGAACCCATTTGATTACTAGTAGTGTTGAGCCTTAAGGATATCTTAACACCATTTTTTCTTCTCAGATTTATTTCACAATCTCAAATTCACGTTTATTTTTGTTTTATTGAAGTGAGGGTGTCTTTCTGGTCACCAGTGGAAATGCAAGACGATAGAAAGTTTGCTCTGCAGCGTAAGATAATGGAATTTATCACGACCACCAGCTGAGGAATAAGTTGTGAATAGCCAAAATTTAATAACCACCAAGGAAAACAATAAAAATGAATTCTATTTTTATGAGCATGGTTGGTTTTTGCCTTTCTTTTTACACTATTTGT